TGTCTTCTTTGGTGCATTTGAATGTCATTGGCCTCTTCTCCAAAGGGTCTCCTCCTCCATTGTCCCTTCCACGTCGAGGTGTGAATCTGCAGCTGTAACCTGAAACCTCTCTGTCCTAACATTATTACACGTACTATAATTCCCTGACTAGGGGTGCACTTCTGGCTTAAATCCCTAACACTTCAACACCATCATCCCGTCTCTGCTGCAGGACAAACTTTCAGCGACACAGACAAATAACAAAGGATCCAAACAAATAAGTAAGGCTTGTCCCTCGTACAGAGTTAAAATATTTCTTGACCCAGTTAGGAGGCCAAAACAAGGCAAACCCAAACAGGGTTAATTTAACCAAACAACTTTGCAATATAAGTATTTATGCCTGTTATAATAAAGCATTGTTAAAATTTCAACAAGTCTCTCCGGATTGAAATAGCTTTTATTCCGGTTACATGTTTAATACCGTAAGTGTCATCGATGAACTAAAACTCAACTGTCTGCTGAGTTGACTGCAGTTATGTTTTCCTGGTTATATACCTAATATCCAAAGCACAAGACCTCTGAGACATCAATTAGGCAGAGATACTGCGGCATACGAACCGCAGCACTTTATGGTTAATAAAGGGGTTTGATTCATCCGAATCAGCCCTTTTCTAGATGTGCTAACTGTAGTAAAACAACATTTTTATGGTCTTTTACCATGGAGACACAATGGGAACATTTTTAGAGCTGAATCATTACTGCTCAGCACGCTTTTCCTCATCAAATATACTCGCTTTTTTTTATGCTGCAGGAATTGGATACTGCAGCAACCTAAAACCCCCATTAAACGAGAAGCCAGTACGTAAAAGCAACGGCTGTTTAAAAAAAAACAACTACTGCCATCTTGGGGAGGAATGACAACATTGCAAGCAGCTGTGAATCCTTAGCATACATTTACAGCAGATGTTACAACAGATATTAACTTCTCTAACCACAACACGTTCATTTGCAAATAAAAATGGCTATTTATTCAGGAAACAGTTGTCCTATAAGGAAATATCACTGTTCTAGGCAAGGAAAGGCAATTTTATTTGTATAGCACTTTTCATACACAAGGCAGACTCAAAGTGCTTCACATTATAACATTTCATACAATAAAGTGAAATAAAATGCAGGAATTAAGAGACAATTAAAAACAGCAAATAAAATTATAAATTGAAATCTTATTTAAATTGTTTAATTAAAGGCAGAGGTTAAAAGTGCAATGTAGGTCAAATTTAGCAGAAGGCGAAGCTGAACATAAAGTTTTCAGTCTTGTTTTAAACGTGGTCAGAGTCGGGGCTTAAAGTCTTAAATCTTCAGGAAGTTTATTCCAGCTGTTTGTTGCGTAGTAACTAAATGATGCTTTCCCATGATTTGTATTTACTCTGGGAATCACTAACAGATGGTGTCAGAAGATCTTAGTGATCTTGAAGGCTTATGTAGTGGAAGCATATCAGTGATATACTTTGGCCCTAAACCATGTAGTGATTTATATGTGAGCAGTAGGATTTTGAAATTAATTCTCTGACATACTGGGAGCCAATCTAAGGATTTAAGAATTGGTGTAATGTGCTCACATTTTTTGGTCTTTGTTAGAACTCTAGCAGCAGCGTTCTGAACAAGCTGGAGCTGCCTGACAGACCTGCAAGGAGACGTTTACAATAGTCTAGCCTACTAGTTATAAAGGCATGTACAAGTGTTTCTAAGTCTTGAGCTGACATGAGCCCTCTAAGTCGTGCTACATTTTTGAGGTGGTAGTAGGCCGATTTTGTTACTGATTTGATGTGACTCTCCAAGTGTAAATCTGAATCCATAATAACCCCCAGATTTCTGGCTTTATTTGATGTTTTCAGAGACAGAGAGTGAAGGTGTTGGGTTACTTTAAACCTTTCTTTTTGAGCATTAAATACAGTGATCTCAGTCTTGTCTTCATTTAGTTGTAGGACATTTTGACACATCCAGTCTTTGATTTGCTCAATGCACTGGCACAGAAGATCTATGGGGCGATAGTCGTTTGGGGATAGCGCTACATAGATTTGGGTGTCATCAGCGTAGCAATGGTGGTCAATTTTATTTCTTTGCATGATTTGTCCTAGTGGGAGCATGTAGATGTTGAATAAAGTCGGCCCTAAGATCGAACCTTGGGGGACTCCACACGTTACGTCGGATGTTTCTCATACGAAGTCACCAATGGAAACAAAATTGTTCCTGTCTTCAACTTTTCTTCCATCCATCCATCCATTGTCAAACCGCTTATCCTGCACACAGGGTCGCGGGGGGGCTGGAGTCCATCCCAGCCAACTTCGGGCGATAGACAACTTTTCTTGACTCAATCAATACATTTTCTGAGGAGGAACATTTTACTTTTTTCAGACAATTCTGCTCGGCTCATACTGTAAATATGACATCAATACAAATGCAGCAATTTATCACACATGTCTCCTAATAATACAATATGCAAGTCACATTTAGATCAAGGGTTACATTGTAAAATGTGGCTTTGTTTCAACTACCAGAAGCAGAAAAGGTTCATTGTTTTTAAGAAAGGAGTTTTGGGCTCATGGACTTGGATACTTAATCAATATGACCGATATCATGAGAAATGTTTTCCCACCGATGTATTGTAGATGATAAAAAATAAGACGGCTGCTTAATAATATACAGGAAAGCACACTATATTTTTTACAGTCAATTCTTAAACGTTTTTCATTATAAAGTTCCTCTAGACCCAAAAGAATACAGAGGATACCAAGAATAACCATTTATCTTTAACACCTTGATTCTCACAAATAAAAACTGACACCAGTCTTAAATATTTCTCATTACTCAGTGCCCATTACTAAAGCGCCACAGAAATATACACATTTATAAGTTAAAAAGGGCAGAACTGACATATCACACATTTTTAACAGCTCAAAATAAACAACGTAAAAGGGGGCGCCGTTACATTTTTTAACCAAAGAAAGCTGCACTGGCATACGCAACCAAGGCCACCATGATCACATCAATTAGGAAATTACCAAATGAGAAAATAAGGATGGCTCTAAAGTGCTCAACACGAAACAATAGCTTAAATGTCAGGTCATATTATTTTTAAGGTTAATCCTCTGGGGCATCAGAGAGGAGAGAGAGAAAATTGTTGCACATAGCTCTGCTGCAAGAGGCCGCACATCTTCATGTCCTCCTCTGTGAAAATGTGCTGTAGTGTTCTGTCAACAATTTTAGATTTCTTCTAACATCTTTAGAAAACTCTTCAAATTCCAAATTGATTGTTTGTCACGGTAGGCTCTTAACGTTGATAGTACTAAGGATACTTTGTTGCCATATCCAGCAATAACTCTCATAACATGGACTGGACGTGGTTCCATGCTGTCTTTTCTTGTCTTGCTGGACCTCAGTGCCGCATTTGATACCATAGACCATTGTATCCTGTTGCAGAGACTAGAACATTTAATTGGTATCAAAGGAACTGCACTCAGCTGGTTTAAATCCTACTTATCGGATCGATCCCAGTTTGTGCTTGTAAACGGTGAATCCTCAAAGACCACCAATGTTGGTCACGGAGTCCCACAAGGTTCTGTACTTGGACCGATTTTATTTACCCTCTATATGCTTCCTTTGGGCGATCTTATCAGGAAACACCGCATAAACTTCCTTTGTTATGCAGACGATTGTCGATCAGGCCAGAAGAGACGGACCAGCTAGTTAGACTTCAAGAATGTCTTCATCAAAACTTGGATGACCGGCAACTTCCTGATGCTAAACTCAGAAAAAATGGAAGTTATCCTGATAGGCCCAGAGCGCCTTCGAAGCCAGCTGTCACGTGATAGTTTTTATGGATGGAATTGCTCTGGTACCCAGCAGCACCGTCAGGAATCTGGGAGTTCTCTTCGACCAGGATATGACCATCAACTCTCATATAAAGAAGACTTCAAGGACTGCCTATTTTCTACGTAACATATCAAAAATCAGGAACTTCCTGTCTCAAAGTGATGCAGAAAAATTTGTTCATGCGTTTGTCACTTCCAGACTGGAATACTGTAATTCTCTGTTATCAGGCTGCTCTTGTAAATCTCTTAAGCCTCTCCAGTTGATTCAGAATGCTGCAGCACGTGTATTAACAAGAACTAAGAAAAGGGATCATATCACTCCTGTATTAACTTCTCTGCAGTGGCTCCCTGTTAAATTAAGATTAGATTTTAAGGTACTTCTCACTTACAAGGCACTTGCTCGTGAGGCACCGTTGTATCTTCAAGAGCTTGTAGCACCTTATTGCCCTACAAGGCAACTGCGCTCCATAGATGCTGGGTTACTTGTTGTTCCTATGGTTTTAAAAAGTAGGCTGGGAGCCAGAGCCTTCAGTTATCAAGCTCCTCTTTGGTGGAACCAGGTTCCACTTTCAGTCCGGGGGGCAGATTCCGTCAGCTCTTTTAAAGTAAAACTTAAAACTTTCCTCTTTGATTGTGCCTATAGTTAGGGCTGGCTCAGGTCAGCCCGGACCAGCCCTTAGTTAAGCAGCTATAGGCTTAGAACGCCGGGGGAATTCTTAGGACACACCAAGCTCCTCTCTCACGTTCTCGTTCTACCATAATTCACGTTTTATTTATGCACATGACTAATTCAGCTTCTTTCCGGGAGTTTTTTTTTTGTGCTTTCTCCCCTAGCAGGTCTTGATACTTTTTTTAGTTTGAACCCTGTCTGCACTTTAACAACATGTAACGGGATGTAGGATTCCACTTGCATCACAGCGGATGGCGACAGGGTAAGATGGCTATAAAACTCCTGTGTTCACCAGGGCAGCCAGACGGGACTCGCGTCCTGGCAATACATACACAACACAGGAAACTACGTAGCTCAGTGCAGTCGATTCCATAAACGCCATTTTCCTCTAACCACCTTTACTTGACCCCATGACATTTTACAAAGCTCAAGTGGTTAGGAATAGACGTGAAGTCATTTGACAATTTTAATCCAGCCTCCACTGTATCGATCTAGCAGTTGATAGATGGACATTGCAATTCTTTCAAGCTTCAATTTTCCGATGATAGTGAGGGGTTTAATTGGATTATGATACTTAGATGATGGCGATACATTAAAACAGTCGAGATTCAAAGTCCAATCAGTGCAAAATAAATGTTAAAAGTGATCTTTTTATTCAAACAAAGACCTCCAAAACTCCTTAAAATGAAAAAAATGTAGCAGCATTTTATATAAAAAAAAAAAAAGTCAAATAAAATTCTTACATTTTGGTGTTGGGGAAACAAAAATGCAGGTTAGGATAAAAATAAAAAGTTAAATACAATCAATAGTTCAGCTTCTGAAGCCTGGCTGGTTCACTTGTCCGTTTAGGTAGCAAAGCTCCTGGTCCCTAAGCAAAACATGTCCGTGTTTTGGACAATAAAACGTAGTAGAACCAAAAACAATCACGCAGTTTCAGACACTTGTACTTTTCCCCCTCAATCATCCAAAGCCCACTTTTATAGCAGCACAAAGAGCCAAATATGACCCTAGGAATAGTTTTTGGGCAATTGAGGCCACTAACAGCAAAAACACACACACACACACACACACACACACACACTAAATCAAGTAGAGACTCCATAAACTGTCCATTCAATTTGGTGTCTGCATAGAAGATGAAAATGGCAAAAACAAAATATAGCCGTTATTGGCAGTTAATGCAAACATTTGTATGCAATGCTGCTCCTCAAATTTAAGATATATATATAGATATATATATATCTCTCTCCTTTTGGGCAGGGTCATCCCTAACAGCCCTTCGCTTTGTGTTTTTATCTTAACTGGAGGGTTAAATAGGTAAGATTCCTGGGAAGATGGAGGGGGCATCCAAACATTTCCTCACGGAGTCACTCGCGGTTTCTCCAATGTGGTCGAAGTCTACGCGTGCACCCCGACAAGGAGATTTAAAAGCAACTGGATCCAAGTAATCAGCATGGCTTGCAAAAGGGGAAAAGAGGATATTTTCATCAGATGTCCCCCACTGAAAAGCCATCGTACCCGTGTGACCAGGTGCCTCCGTGGCGCCGCTGTTCAGACAGTTGGGTTTTTCTTCGGCGCACAGCTAAAATGTAAGACTGACCATAAGTGGGGTTTGCTTCAGTGTTTTTCTCACTATTTTGGAAGGCGCCCTTGTGGGGATGGAGTGCGAATCCTGGGGAGGATTTTCAGCACCGCTGTGTCCACTCGGACCGACTCCTCGGTCTTCTCGCTGCTCTGGGGAGGAGTCAGGACACCCGATGGCACAGGGCAGCTGACGTGCCGCTCCAACTCCACGTCCTGGTAAGAGTAGGCCCGGTCCTGTACACAGCAAAGTCCACACATTAAGAATGACAGCAGGAACCTTTCCAGCGAACAGGACTTCACAACATTGCAGGCGGAGGCCTTTCTGCATTATGCGGAATGTTTTAATAGAAGAACCGATGTCGCTTGCAGACAATATATTTAAGGTATTATATAAATGCAATGCGGGGGATCTTTTCTATTACACCCCTCACTATTATCCCGCCAAATTAGTTTTTTCCCCCCTTCCAAATAGGTTAAATGCTACAACAGGTTGTTTTACTTCTGATGCAAAAAGCGCTCTCCATCTTCAACTACCGTCTCTGCGATCTAACGCGGCATATCAGAAGCAAAGAAAGTTGCATTAAATATGTCATTGCCTCATACAGCACAAGAAATCATTGTGTGTAATATACATACATACACATATAACGCTTTAATACTCTATAGCCATTGTCAATTCACTTCTGATTTTCTCGGTGCATTTTAAAACATGCATTGCAGTGATTTCACTTACCAACCACGAGATGTAGGAGACGTGCGTCTGGATGTTGTGCATGTCATCTGCGGGGATTCCTGTGAACGTTTTCATAGACGAGCCACCGACCTCCCGCAGTGCCAAGGCGAACGGCACCATCCACCTGACGCACTGCTCCACCTCCACCCTCTTCAGAGCTGCGAGGATGGAGGAAAGGAGCAGAATGAGTAAAAGGGAAAAGGCATTCTCCTACAGCAAACTGTAGCGTTTATTGTTGCCTTTTACCAGAGACATTTTCCACTAGCTCCAGGGAGGAGAAGTGAAACAGCGCCGAGGCCGCAAGGACGCCGTTGGAAAACTCAAGGCATCGCACATCGAGCATACACAGGTCCAACAGCTACAGAGAGAAAAACACAAATGGCAATCAAACACTCGGGCAATTCTAAATGAGGTAATAAGACCTGATACAGTTTTTACATGAATACCAAGCATGACTATCTGATTTCTCAATAAATGAGTTTCTTCTGAAAGCTGAATTACAGAGCAATGAGTAGAGCAGTGAATTTGATTAGGTTTATATATTTACAGTCCCCCCCCCCATAAAAAGACAGGGGGGGGGGTTAAGCCGGATTTATGCTTCTGCATTTCAGAGCGACGCAGACGCAAGCCCCCCTTGCGTCTGCGTCGCTTTTCACACCTCCTATTGGAGGGGAAAATTGTAAAATGGAGCGGTGGCTAGTAGGTGGGAAAAGCTGATGAATCAAATGCAACAAGCAAGTCCTCAGATAATGAATCCCTGAAAACTAAAAAAAGGTTCATAGAAAGTACTCGACGACGTACCCATCACTGGGATTTACCAGTTTAGGACCAGAAGACAATCCCTTGCCCGTCTGTGTGCTATGCTCGGCGGTGCTAGCAAACGGGGCACTGAAACCATGCAAGCTGTTTTGATCAGAGTTGTGATTAAAGGTTTGGGTGGGCCGCAAAAGATTTTCAGATTTCAAATTGGGCCGCGGCATTAGAGGCTTCGGAGTTCGCCGCGCTGGTTTAATGGATCCAGGCATGAAAACGGGTCAAGGGTCAAAAAGGTGACAAGGATATTACCCCTTTCAACTGGTTTTGTCCCAGAGATTTCTTCGAGTCATTCGTTGACGGGGGTGGTGGTAAGATATTACCGACCATTTAACCGACTCGGTTCTTTGAATCTCGTGTCAATGATTCGTTCATCGTACTTTGAAGTCAGAATGCGTATCAGGTTGGCAGGTCTGCTTATTGATGGAACGGTGGACCACTTTACCTTCTGCCTCGTCAGTCCCCTCACCTCAACAACGCTAGCGTTAGCTAATCATTTCCCACCGGAGCTTTAGCTAGCTGGCCAACGACGCGTTCTCTCCTGCTGTGTTAAATGACTCCATTCATCAAGCTGTAGCTAACGTTAGCTAAGTCTATGTCAACAAAGCTCCTGGGTAACTTAACTTTGATATACCATAAAATATTAAAGCAATCACTCACCCTGTTCGCAGTTCACTGAATATGAATACCCCCCCAAAAAAACTCAGCGAATCTACACGATTCACGTAGGTCACCTATTTTGGTTTCAAAACGGCGAATTTCGCCGAAAGGTGAGGGATTTATGCCTGTGGATCAATGTCTCCCTTTACAGGCATAACATCAACTACCGTATAACCCACAGTATGTGCGCAAGTGCACTAGACTACCGTATATATGACAGCATTAAACACAAATATATTTGTCAACAATAAACGATATGGGACAAAGCACGAAATACACAACAGATTGAAAAATGAATGTTCCAAAAGAGGCGAGTAAATGAAATCGTGTCTTAGTCCTGCTAACTGCTTTACTGTTATTAGCGAGCTAACGCTAGCTTGATCAGCTGGATGACGAAACTCATTGAGTGACGTGATAATCGCGCGACACAACGAATCGATAATTAAATTAGTTGCCAACGCTTTAAATAATCAAATTTGATCAATTTCATCTATTCGTTGTTGCAGCCCTAGTTTCCGGTCTTTTTTCTGGTCGATCGCCCACTAAACGCAAGTGATGTTAATTCATACATGTCAACAAATCAACATGTCAAATCTCATGAATATATATAAATATGTACATGTCTAACTACTGCAGGAAAGTTACTTTGATGACAGAAAGTAGTGAGGCTCACTTGGGCGACGATGAAAGAGCTTTTATTGCGATATTTTGAAGTGGGATATCTCATTTTGAAAGGCCAGAATTGGGTTCCCGGATGCGTTGTCAGCATCGATGGTAATTCTGGCGAACCTCCGCAAAAAACAAATGTTTTCACTGACGATGGTCAGAGTCACGCCTACAGCAGCGCACGGCTAATTCTTGGCGTTGGCTTCCTTTTACAGACTAGTTACGAAAATATTAATAATAATTAAAACAGTATTTGGCTCGAAAGGTAAGAAGCTAACGCCTACTTCAACAGCGAGAAATCCCCTGAAAACATTACACGATCATTTTAATAGTTTCACCGGATCGTTGGATAAAACCTGTCCGGGTCAGTAGACCGTCACGTGAGCTCCGCTAGCAGCGGCGCACTGACGTCTGCTTCCGTTAGCTTGGCTCGTTGATGCCGCTCTGTTTAACCGTCCTGCCTCCACATTACATTCTGCTCTCCCGAGACTTTTCCATATGTAGCCAAACACGGTTAAATCTACACTTCCCGGCACAGTGGAGGATTCCTGAGCTACTGTTTTTACGGCCACCAAACTTTTCAGTTAAGGTGCAAACAAAGCTAAACCAAACTGTGCAAATCTACCCAAAAGCTCTCGTTGAGGTCAAAGCTTGTTATTGAAGTAGATTCATTAGCGAGGCAGACGGACATGCACACATACCTCTGCGATCTGAGAGAAGGTGGTCTGGGGATATTTGGGGATGAGCAGCTGGTCGGTTTCCTGAAGGTAGGCCACCTGCATGTAGACATTGAGCCAGGAGATGGGAGTCTGGGGGCTGAGGCTCCACTTGAGCTCCTGTGTGACACACAAAGAGCAGACGTTGGAGTAGAAACAGACGACTATGCAAAGGGGCGGAACAGTACCCGAAACTCCGGCTGGGGAGTGTTGACTTTTCTTTGCCAAAGCAACTGAAATGTAGTTGAGAACCTGCGAGCGGAGCTGCAGCTCGTTGGGAACGTTGTCTGCCAGGAAGTTAAACATACATCGTTGTGTTCTCGTTGATCGTCTTTGTCATCACAGAGCATATGAATTACATTTTAATACGTTTATTTGTAGACAGCACGCTAACTTTTTACAGCCTCACCTTGATTATTTGCTGTTGGGATCCATCAGAAAGTCAGTCGCTGGGCGACTCATTGTAAATAAAAGTAATTACTGCAAACTCAGAACTATATTCTAAAGATGTGTGTAATAAAGCACAGGCTGTCTCTTTGCAAAGGATGGAGCTGGCTGTAAACCACATTATAAATCAAAAAGTGATCATAGGGAATACTCGGTTTCAATCAACGTTCATGTTTTTGTTGTTCAATGAAAAAAATACAGTCAACTTACAAATTAAGTCAAAAATGTCATTTTTTAAATTTGTATAATGTTTGCATTCATGTCTGAGATGGTAAATGCAGATAAATTACCCCAAAATGTACTGTTTGTTCCTGATAAGAACCATTTGTGGTCCAGGTAACTAAAGATGCTTACTATTTACAGTCTAGCAGAATCTATGTAATCTTCATACGATTCACGTGTACATGTTCTTCACCTTCATAATAATGATTTCCATACTGAGAATCTCGTCTTCAGTGCAGGCCTCGTCTGTGACGTAGGCAAACTGGTGGACCTTGGGAGGGTACATCTCCTGGGGGATGAGAAGGAAACAAACGCGACCAAATCACACATCTAAAACACAACGAGAGGGAACTGCAGCTCGCGGACAACCAGAGACCAGCTCTTCGTGGCAGCGACGCTTCTCACCTCGACTTTGGCGGCGATGAAGAGACAGGTGATGCCTATGAGCTGCAGCGTGGACTTGAAGACGTTCCTCTGCGTGGCCATGAAGCGATCAAAGTAGTCCTGGGCGAGGTGGTACGACTCCCTGTGCAGCTTGTACACCTCACTCACCTGAAACACGCACACAAACGGAACACCGCAGCTTAAAACCCTGTTCATGCGTTCAGGTCACCAAGAGACATGGCGGACTGGTCACAGACCTCCATGAGCCAGTCCAGGAGGACGGCTCGCATCTTGGGCTGCAGGTGAGGATGTTTTTCCATCACGTGCACATCTCTGCTGTAGGTCTTATCCTTCTCCAACATGTTGTTCCACACCACATCTTTACTCGCCCAGCTGATGATAAAACAGAGACACCGTGGTGACAAAAAGTACTGATACAACTCCTGACTAACTGCCGTTGTTGTGAAAGACGTGCAAGTATAATAGCGCTCCATCTGTCGGAGAAAACTACTCGCTGCTACTGCTGCCGCCACCACGAAAAGGGCCTAATGTAAAAGAAGAAAGGCCAAGCACAGACTCCAACGCGGGTCGCCCTGCAGGCCGTGAGGCTGCGATGATCAACAGTAGAACTCACCACAGCGCAGGAAGAGGTGCACAACGTACGGGCGTCACAAGCACATTGTGGAAGTTGTAGTGGGGGAACCCCGCGTTTATCAGGGCGACCGCTTGGTCCTCTTCCTGGTCGGGTGTGGGGATCCACCTCTGGGGACTCGTGCAACCGGCATCGGGACTCCTGCCCAGCTTGACCGGAGAGAGAGGGGAGAGATGAGCGGCCACGCGATACACAAGAGGACGTGAAGCGAACGGAGGCGCCGGATGACAAAACCTACCTCGCATTCCCGCTGCTTCTTCTTCGTCATCTCTGCGACCTCCTCATCCACGTCATGTAAATACTGAGGACAAAGAAAAGGGTCACAGTCATTTATTGATTAATGCATGGGATTCAAATCCTGGAGGGCAGAAACCGTCCCACAGGACACCAACCAGGCGCGCTGCATTTAAAGAGAGCAACACACGCGACACCGCATCAAGGGGCTCCAGTGAGCAGCAGATGGACGTGTAACTTGGTTTGGAAGCAGCTGGAAGTTGTCGCGGGCCTGCTGGTACTCACGATGGCAACATCTGCCTTCCTCTTCCTGGGCCGCGCCGTGTGCTCCGTGGACGCGGGTTCCGTCTCTTCCCTGCAGACGACAGGGAACAAACACGCCGTGAGTCTGCAGACACACACACACACACACACCTCATCGACGGCCAGATGCGATGCTGTAGCATCGAGCTAACTAGCCGGACGGCTAAAGCTCCGTCCACTCAACGTGCGTGTTCAGTCACGCGCGCGCGCAGGGGGGAACTCACCGTTTCGCTCGCATTCTGCACGGCGGCTCGCTCCGGCGGACCTGTGGGCGATACGTGATGGCGTTATTTGGGGGTTCGGGCACATTTCGCGCACTCCCAACCCCCACCCGCGACTCCTCCCGCACCTCCCCCCGACAAAGCGCGAGCTGCCTGGCGCGGGGAAATGCAAACGAGTCAAAAAGTGGCGGAAAGTGGCGCCACGTAACGCGGGTCCACGCCACTAAAAGCCGCGGAGCAGCCGACGCCGCGCCGGCTGCTCCGCGGCTTCACTTCGGCGGTTTTTAGCGGGTTTATTTCCCCCCGAACCCGAGACAGCTGGCGGGTCACATAATGGCCCGAGGACAGCGGGACGGCCTGTGTCCTCGACGCACGGCACCGGACCGCCGGGCGGAACAGAACCGCTCGGTCCGAGTCGCCTGCGGACTTAAGAACTAAACTTTACTTTGGGGTCCAGCCAAACAAACAAACAAACAAACAAACAAACAAAGTGCAGCTCGACGTCGCTCGGGCGGACGTTCCTCGCACTCACCTCGAGACGCTTCGCTGTGGGGACGATTTGACCCGCGTGTCGCTTCGGGTGGCGGCTGCTCGCTGCGGGTCTCTGCGGGTCTCTGCGGGCTGGCGGCTCCGATCTGGCGCCTTGTAGGGAACAGATGACTGGACGCCGCCGCGTCACGGAGGAGTGGATTGAAGTTGGCGCTAAACCTCGAGTTCCGCCGCCTCCCTGAGCTCCGTCTTCCACCGGTTCACCCGCGCGCCGCCTCCACGGCACGTGCGAGACACGGAGTGCGCGTGTGGTTCACGTTTATCGCGCTGAAGAAAAGGAAAAATGCGTTAATAAATTAGCCGGCAAAACGAGGAGGCGTGGCCGCGGCGGTGACAGCTGCGGGGGGCGGGGCTTGCAGAGAGGAAGTGCTCGTGCACCGCGTGGCTAGTCCGTCGGATGTAAACAAAGGCGAACTCCTTTCGATTAATGCAGAAATACAGATGAACGCGGCGGAGTCGCGGCGCGGGAACGGCGGCTCCCGGTCGCGTGGACCCCGCGCGGGCGCGCGTTCCCCTGTCACATTATGCGCATCCGCTATTCAGCGGATAATCGCGATGTGCGCGCGCCACGTCGCGAGCACGAGTCCACGGTCTCCACCGCAAGCACGCGACGTGACGTGAGCCGCTCTTCTGTTAACTAACTTCACTGACGACCCTTTGTGTTCCGTCAGCAGGGAAAGAGGCGCTGGATTCTCTGCTCAAACCTTTGGAGACTGTTGATTGTTTACTTTTTTTGTTTGATTTGGCAGAATTGACCCTTGGCCAGTCACGTGAGGCCCACGAGAAGACAAGCGAGACATTCATTTTGTCTGTCCTCTGTGGATTGCTCCCCCGAAAACGAGACCATGAAGTTCTTGGATCTATTTGGACGCCTGAAGTCTGTGGTTATTGGGATGATTCACGTCAACGCCCTACCAGGTAAACCAAGCTGCACGTGTTAGTGCTCCCTAACCGCCACCCAACACCAGTTAACATATGAACCTAGTGAATTGGTCAAATCTGACACTTTTATATTTGAATAGTGGGCCAGTGTGCTGAAGTAAAGTGCTTCATTGCATTGCATCACTGCCGGTTTTGGGAGCTTTTAAATGTCTTGTGCAGTTTGTAAGCAGGTCTTGTCTCTCAGGAACCCCCATGGGTTACATGACAATGCCCCAGATCACCGAGGAAGCCTGCAGAGAGGCAGAGATCTACCGCCAAGCAGGGATCGTAAGTCATTGCTCATCCTGTATATGTTCCGCATGTGAAGGCGGTGACCGTTCCCGTAAACCCCCCCTCAGGACGGGCTGATCATTGAGAACATGCACGACGTCCCTTACTGCTTCTCCGTGGGCCCCGAGGTGTGCGCCTGTATGACCGCAGTGTGCGCCGCCGTGAGAGGCGTCTGTCCTCGCCTGCCGCTCGGAGTTCAGATACTGTCCTCTGCTAACCAGCAGGCGGTGGCCGTGGCTCTGGCTTCAGGTGGAGGTCGTTCAAAACACACCAGCAGTCGCTACTCCACTTCTTCCGTTGGTCAACCGTAGTGTCATGACGTCACAGGTCTGGACTTCATCAGGGCCGAGGGCTTCGTCTTCTCTCACGTGGCCGACGAGGGTCTCCTGGACGCCTGCGCCGGGGACTTGCTGCGATACCGCAAGCAGATCGGCGCGGAACGCGTGCAGATCTTCACCGACATCAAAAAGAAGCACAGGTGAGATCGTCATCTGATTCATTAATAACCCAAAGCTGAAAACACATGTGACATTTGATATCTCTAGATCTCTGAACGCATTGATCTGCTTTTTTGATTCGGCCTGTAAGTAAAGATTCATAGAAATAGATGTTTGGGGATCTCAGTTTGTCAGTAGCTTCATGAATTTGCTTGGTTTTGTTTCGGGCAGATTTGACATCAAATGGAGGCCCATATCTGTTGGTCAGAGGAAGTTAAGGTGTCGGTGCAGCCCGATGTACAGATGAATCTCTCCTCTTCTATGCATCATCTGTGCTGGTGAAGTTGTGATAGTGAATGTGGTGACATTGAGCGTTGGTGGACGGGGGACGTGATGTAGGCCTGGTGCACGCTGCGTTTCTCCACAGCTCACACGCCCTGACGTCGGACGTGAGCATCGAGGAGACGGCGCGCGCCGCAGAGTTCTTCCTCTCGGACGGACTCATCGTCACAGGAGCGGCCACCGGAGCGCCGGCCGACCCGCGGGAACTCCGAGGTATAAATACTCTGGATCCAATACATGATACAAACCTGCCCGTCTCACATTGAGCCCATACGGCTGGTCTTGGCCCTGTAGTGCTCTACCAGTTAGCGGCTGTGTCTCATGGCAACACCGGCCTTCTTCTTCACACGGATTCTGAAGACAGGCGACCCTCTCCTTCTCCTCCTCTTCCTCGGGGAGGAAGAACCGCTCAGACAGCACGAGGCTCGCGTGTCCGTGTGGCGGTCAGACTGCTCCCGTGTCCAAGGTCCGCCGGCCTCTGGTTAGGCCCCTCCCACTGCCCACGCTTACTTACCGTAATAAACATGAACAAAAGGAAGCCCACCACCCGCCTCTCCACCCGGGTTTGACTTTGCTCCATCGGCCCATAGCTTCTTCCCACTAGTTGTAGTTTCTGGCTGCATGTTTTCCCACCATGCGTCGCGTGCGGTGTAGGTTGCTCTTCCCCATTCTTCATATGGTCTCTGGTTCCTCCACCATGTCTTTTACTGCCCACTTTACTAACCAGTAAATCTCTGGACGCAGCAGAAGTGTTCTAACACACTGTAGGTGAGTAACGCTTCACGTTGAGACAGGAAGTGCGTGATTATACGATTAGTTCCTGATTTCCATCACAGACGAGTTTGTTTTATATAAACAGGATTTATTTCCCCCAATTAGCATTTTCTTTTGTACAATGGCTCAAAGATATTTTTGGTTTACTTCTGATTCATTTTCTTTCCATCAAGTAAAAAAAGAAGCCTTAAGGAAACGGATAGATTTAGAAAGGTGCTTCTGTCTCCTCTGCACAAACTGAGGGCCGTGCTCTGGATAACATCTGGCTGCTTACGCTGTTCTACTATGATCTGATTAGAGCTCCCCGGCATCTCATGTTCATAACGAACATTTTAATGAGCTCTTTAAGGTTCATTTGCTGTCGGAAAGGACGTCACTTCCAGCCCACATTTCAGTTTCTTTATCAACCTGCACCTTTCTTACTTTTCCTAAATCCCCTCCGACCCCAAGTAGGAAGCTTCAGTGACACATTGCTCTTACTCTGCGTTAGTTCACGTATGTGGGATGGAGACGTGGGAAGCATCAGTCTCCTTACGCTCACTCCTCCTGATCCAAGACCAAAACGGCGAGTAAAACCACCAGCACGCCAGCGCGGGGGAGGAGCCGCTTTTATGTCTTCATTACAAAGTTGCAGCTCAGATTGACAAGTTCTGAGCACTAACAAAGCCTGACCGCCTCTATTTTGACATAAGCCTTGGATGTGTCCTGATTGTGAGGCCGTAGAGTGAGTGCAGCAGCTGCTTCGTCTCAGCGGTTTTTATGTTTCTGCAGATGTTTCCCAGCGTGTGAGCATCCCGGTGCTGATTGGCTCAGGAGTGACCTACGACAACGTGGAGCGCTACCTCCATGCGAGCGGGATGATCATCGGCTCTCATTTCAAGGAGGGAGGCCGCTGGGCCGCCGCCGTCGACCCGGAGCAAGTGAAGAGGTTCATGGGAAAGGTACGCGGCCTCCGGACACGAGGGAACGCCGCCTGAAAGACGTGTACTTGTACTACAACTGTGCGCGGGGCCACGTTTCACTCATTCCACCTTAAGAAAACATGTTTATCATCTTTGACATTTTATAATAACACCAAATAGAAAAACTGTATTAGCACTCAATTAACAATGTGTCAAATGAATAAAATGAGAACCAACCTGCTTGTGGGGGAAATGGACCAAATGCGTTCTTTTCTAATTATTCCTTAAGCAGTTTCTCACACAGCCTGAATCCTGCTGACTGACCGTTATAATACTCGCCACATCTAACATGCGCGGCCTGCGTTTATCCAACCTAATGGATCCATCCGTTTGGAGAATAGTTTGAAATGTTTCATATTTTTGTACCAGTGTCAACTTGTTACTGACCCGACAAATACAGAATATAATATGGTTTCATGTTCACAAGCCGCCGCTGGACGCGCATGTGAGCCGAGAGTCAAAGCGCTCGTCTCGCTCCGGTTTCAGCGGCTGCGGAGACGCTCGTAGGAGCCGCGGCGTCTCCCTCCCGGGGACGACCGCATGCCGGCCAGGTTCTGCCTGTGGAGGGCCGCGCGGCTCAGCTGCTTCCGCTCCGCCCGGGTCCTCGCCCTCTGGACCGCCAGCCGCTGGGCGCCGCAGGGTAGCGGGACGCCCCAGGCCGCCAGACGCCGTCTCACCGCCGCCGGCCTGGACGCGCCCCTCGGAGGGACTTGTTCTTCCTGCGTCCCGCGTCTCATCTGGTAGACAGACGTGCTGGGGTGCTCGGTCATCAGCAGCCCGCCCGCCGTGCGAGCGACGCGTCCCAGCTCAAACACATCCGTTTTCATCCCGGTAGAAGCTGCAGAGGACACATTGAAACGCCACATGTGAATGAGGCCCTGTGTGGGTGTCGCCTCCGGCCAGGTGTGTCTCTCACCTGGGACGACGATGACCCAGCCTCCCTCCTCAAACTCCATCAGCTCCACATTGGTGTCTGTCGTTGCCCCAAAGTCGTCCTCGGCGTTCCAGAGCAGATGAGAAAGAATCTTCCCAATCATGTTTGTGCCTCTACTGCAAACGAGTGAAGAAATGAGGAGTGAATTAGTGCAGACTCCTTGTATGTTTAGCATATTTTGGCAAATAAATGTTTCCTGATTCCTTCCAGAAACAACACATCTGTATAGTAAATGTGAAGGGATCGCCGACTCGGCTCCGGGGCAGATTAGCAACTGCTAAATAAAGACCTGTCTTCAGTGGACATCCTGAGAAACCTGAGCAGTGTTTACTGTCGCTATGCGCCCAGCGGGGACAGGGGGGGACAGGGGGGTAGTTTAGGCCCTGGTGCAGGTGGCCGTCCTGCTGTTTATTGGGCTCTGGATGTCTTATTGTGTTTCTTAGGCAGAATTACACGTCACGGCAGAACGGATCGATACGTCGGGTCAGTGACGCTGAAACGATGAAACGTCCTATTCATCCGATGTAGTGTGTGAGGTGCAATGTTTACTTGTCAAATCCAAATCAGCTGATCACAAAGGAATGTTTCGTGCAGAGAGCAGAGGACACGTCCCCTGGTTAAAACACCCTCAGGACATCGCAGTAAACACAGTATTGGGGCGAAATCCGTTCAGACAATCACGGGTCCGTGTGTCCTCCCGCTGCTCAGGTGTTTGCCACCTGTCCTCTCCTGTGGACACAACGTCTCCGCACCACCACAACAAGCAGACGTCCTCGGAGACAAACAGCTGACGTTCCGATGAGACTCACCTGATCGCGATGTGTCTTCGGGTGGGGGACAAGTCAGCTGCGCGTCGCTGCTCTCCGGAGGGTGTTTTTCGTGTCGAAATCGTGTGTCGGTGAGGGTCCTCCCCGCGTCCTGCAACGTCACCAAACCCCGCCCCCAAAAGGCGGGACCGGACGTCAGGCGAACCTCCCTGTTCAGCGAGCCGCCGTTTGCTTTTCCCGGTTAAACAGAGTTTATACGCGTTCAGGTCAGCGGCTTCTTCCGGCGTGAGGCCGCAGCGACACGTTTACCTGCCGCTGACCCGACAACAACGACACGCGCAGCTTGATGCGGGCTTCTTTAGTAGGTAGCGGACTCTGACCTTAAAGACTTTGTGGACCGTCCCGCGTGCTGACAAATCACGTAACCAACGGACACGTTTAGCGTGGAGCGATGCAGCCAATGAGCCCCCCGCCGAGACGCGTAGAGGCGATATTCTCGGATGAAATGTGACACCAGCAGCCACTCATCTTGCCTGTGTCGTTTCTCACATACTCTCTGATAGCTTTTGCGAAGCAGGAGGTAGGAAGCAGGAGGTAGGAGGCAGGAGGTAGGAAGTAGGAGGTAGGAGGGCTCCTCTCTCGGCGGAGTGCGCGAGCAGCAGAGCAGTTGACGCACAGAGAGCATCAACTACACCTGCGCGACACGTTTAGGACACAACTCGAGGTACTGGTGACGATTCAGCTTTGGATAGAAGCGCGTCTTTCATCCGCTTAGTGGAGAGGAAGCAATCGGAGGGCTTGAAGAATTATTTGGCTTGTTTTTAAAATCGAAACGAAAGTAAGACTAAGTTATCAGCTCTCAAATACAACCGTTGTAGATTTAAATATGGGTGTTATCACTGACCCGCCAAACTGCGTTAAAAACAACCATTTAGAAGCGTCCACTGTGTGTCAACGAACAGCGCTGCTTTGCAGAACAAATGGACGCACTTTAAAATCCCATAGTTCAAAATGTCTTTGTAGCTCTGCTCATGTGTGGAAATGTGGACGATCAGAGGCAAAAATGTCGTTGTTGAACAGGTGAATGTTGGTCTAGCAGTTATGTGATAGACTCGTTTGTCCTGATTCCAGGAGAAACGAAAGCACGCTGTGTGTCGTGGTAATGTGCATCTGCAAGGCTCTGCTTGGGTGTCTTACAAACTAACCGAGACGTGAGGTCTGTCACGTATCTAGAGGCGGTTTAGATCATCTCAACGTTATTTCCGTATGAAGACCGCTGCATGAACGGCTTGTGTGTGCAGGGATGTTGGTGTGTTTTGGTAAATACTCTACGGCCTCATCCGAGGAAACTCTAGTCTGAATTCAGCTTCAAATATGGGTCTTTCTTATTTTTTTGAACCCACACAAAGGAGAGCTGAATTTCCAGGGATGGCGCCACGAATGGACGACTGCGTACGTCTGTGCTGTGAAGTAGGAGCCGACCAGCAGATCAAGGTGGCAGTCAAGAACTCCACCAAAGGAGCCGTTTTGGCCGGAGGGACGGCCTTTGTAGGCGGGATGCTCGGTGGACCTCCAGGGATCGCTGTTGGTGAGAATAAATATTCTACTAACATAATATAGCGGTGCTTCCTGATCTAAGTGCGACAGCATTAGAGGCTCGATAGGGAAACCGAACCTTCCTCATTGCTCAACGGACAAACGTTGGGCAGGGCGGCCAACTACGTAGAGGTGAAAGTAAACGCAATGTCAACAAAAGCAGCAGGCCCTCGTCCCCCTCGTCCCCCCACGCTGTGGCTCAGCCTCCCCCCTCTCTTCCCAGGCGGCGCGGTGGGCGGTCTCCTGGGCAGCTGGCTGACCAGCGGACAGTTCAAGCCTCTGCCTCAGATCCTGATGGAGTTGCCTCCTGCCCAGAAGCAGAAGCTCTACGATCAAGTCTCAGCCGTCTTGAAGAACGTGGCCTGGACGGACGCGGCGCAGCTCATCGCCCTGGTGATGGGCAACGCTGCTCTCCGCCAGCAGGTCACCGCCGCGTTGCTGAACTACGTCACAACGGAGCTGCGATCCGAGGTGCGCTATGCAGACTGAGTTGTGACCGCGTGGAGCTCTAAGGATGCTCGGGTCCGCCCACACAAACGCATCCTCAGCGCTTTGTACTCAATTAGGAAAAGCTGTGGATCATGAATGTTCTCATTCTCCCCTTTTTACCATTTAGGGACACTGCACAATGCATTATAATCTAGTAAAATTATAAAACATCATTTGAAAAATAAAGATCTGCTGAAAAGACTTTTGGTTCTGATACTTTCATCAAGGCCCAACAAGAAAACACTTGATTTGTGAATTGTGGGGGACATTGGCACCAAGGGTGTAACCCTGGTTCAGACATTAGGAGGGACACGACCCCCCAAACGAAGCGTGGTTACGCCCTTTGATTGGCACTACGTTTGTGTCAATTTCCGCCGCTTGTTAAATATTCTGCCTGGACGGATATTTATTCTGATTTTGAACTAAATCTCTTGATTGGGGTGTTTTTAATAATGCAGGAAGGGGTGCTGGTTACCGAGGTACCTGACGAACACGGTGCGTAGTCAGTCACCTGTGCAGAACACCAAGCAAAAATGTCTCTGGCACGGTGGTGCTGGTGGAGCCTTCATACGGACGTGGACGGTTTAATGTCTTAGAAACCAAAAGATGCACCGTGTTTTGTTGGAAGAAAGTTTCAACAACAAGGCGGATAAAAACAGCTGTGACCATGTTGCTCCTCATCTTATGAAGCCACGTCACCTGTAAACATGGATTCCTTTGCACTTCATCCCGTGTTTGACGCTCAACGAGTCCCAGTTCTTGTATGCTAACGTTGCTTTAAGTTTAGACACGTGTCAAGTGGGTTTGAGATCCCAGAAGAGGATTAAAATACGGGCTCAGGAGATCAGGCCAAAGAGCACACAGCCGGATGCATTGTAGCTCAATGGCTTCAACCCCATTTCATCCCGGTCTGATTCGTCAACAAAATGCTGTCAATGCTCCGACAGGAACGGCTGCGCGTGGATTTGATTGGTAGCAGATAGAGTTTAAGTTAAACAGATCAGATGATAAATGGGGGAAGCTGCACATCAGCTCCTTTAGGTCACGACTAAAGCGCCTGTGTGGGAACGCCCAACAAACCTTTTAGCTGTTCTTGCTGCGAGATCGATAACGGATTTAGTATCACGTGGTGAATATGAAGCCAGGAGCTCGATCCAATCAAAACACGCAGCGCCAAAGTTGATGTTTTTTCAGGGTTTATGACTAATTCTGACTTTCTCGAGTCTTTTCCCACACCCCGTGCTGGTGGTCTGCCGGTGCTTCAGAGCGGTTATTTTTATGTCAAGCATCAAACACACAATCGAGGATCATGATAAAAGTACACTTTATATAAAACAGAAAATACACCATGTGGAAACGTTGGCAGTGTTGTGTGAGGAGGTTTGTTTAGGCTACGTGAAATAAATGACATCACACGCAGTATTCTGGGAACACAAGCGCAGTTTCCCTTTGCTACCTAGTGTTAGAAATTGTTTTTACATTCCCGTTTAAATCAGAGTGCCTGAATTATATGAATAAACGTCGTGCACGTGTAGCTCAAAAAATACCATCAACAATTTGGAGCATTCAAAAAACTTATTTTGCAAAACAATAAACCACAATGCAAAGCAAAGCTTTTTCTCCTGAGATGAAAGACGAGTAAAATTAGTGAAAGAAAGTGAGGATGTCGAATCTCGTCTGTCGGTGCGCACGGCGTGGCAGGCCGCTGAGGAGCCGCCACCCTTTGGACGGGTCCTTCCTCGTTGCCCTCTGACCCCTGAGGGAGTAGTGGTGCACTCCTGCCTCATAACACCAACATGGGTATTTTTGAAAGGCAAAACTTGTTTTACACCCATTTCATATGCCAATCCAAAACATTTAAGGGAAGATTACATCATCAGAGGAAGACGATTCTGTCTCTCAGGGTTCCACAGCTCAACTTATGGGATACTTTTTTTTAAACTATCAAGTGCAAAATGGTCGAGAAGTCATCTAAAGCTTCCCATGTCTGTGCATGCGCTTTTTTTACACACATAAGCGTCATGAAAGGCCATCAGAACAACAGGTTTCACCACTGGGATCACTGGTAAGCTTACACTGCCACTGAGGCCTCCAACCAACTCAATGCTACTAATGCAGAGCAGCAGTACCTGAGCAATGGATCCACGGTGGAGAAGCGTGGAGCCTCAGAGCCTTTTTACACAGCCTGCAACGTCCGGCTAAGGTGGTCAGCCGGTTTAAAGCAGTGAGGTTAGTAAAGCTATGGTTCACCTCATTTACATGTGGAGTTAGTCAAATAAAAAAGAATTTACACTGTACAATAGCATAATTCTATCTAGAGACAAGGACAGTGACGGGCGCTGTGAGGGGTCTAAAACTGGTCGGAGAGCAGATCACACAGTCGCTGGGACACGGCCTCCCGGCTGGTCCGCAGGGTGAGACGGTACATCTGAATAGGACACACACACAAAGTGGCACCAGCTATATGAAGGTTCAATGCGAGGAGCAGCGTGTGTGTGTGTGTGTGTGTGTGTGTTTACCTCTGCCTGCGTGTTGGGCTCCAGTCGGAGGAGGCAGCCCACCTGAGTGCTCTTCGTGTGAATGACCCCGGCTCCAACAAAGTTGGTGGGATTGGGATCCACCGCATCCAGCAGAGCCACACCAAAGCCTATGATCTACAAAACAAGTTACAGGAGACGCATCGAACAATCCATCATGCTGAGTTACTTGTTGTTCCTACAGTCTAAAGGCCGCCGCGTGTTTCTGCGTCTTTACGTCGTGTCGACACACTGGTTTCACTTCCTGGTTGTAAAGTCCTGCGTGTGTTGCAGAGCGATTCACCTCCAGAACAACAGGTGGAGTCACGTGTTTTGTTGAAGACGACCTAGAGAGTCACGTCTCTGTGTGTGGAAGTCGCTGGTTTGTTTATTTATTTGTCATAGACTTTATTGCCCCGTGCATCGACACTGCTGCTTTTCATCAAGGACACATTTGTCCCGTATTTTCCTCCACGACTTTGTTCCCCTCGAGCAGCAAGCGGGAGGCTTGCGTCGCTTTGGACGCTAGTCTATAAAAATGGGTCGACGCACACAAGGGTCTGCGTGTCCTTGCGTCTCTCTGAAAACGCAGAAGCATAAACTAGGCTTGAGGAAGTAGGATGGGGGCCAGAGCCCTCAGTTATACTTTCAGTCCGGGGGGCAGATTCGCTTAAATCTTTCCTCTTTGATCCTGCCTGTAGTTAGGGCTGGCTCAGGTCAGCCCGGACCAGCCCTTAGTTAAGCTGCTATAGGCTCAGACTGCCGGGGGACTTCTTAGGACACACCGAGCTCCTCATCACCAATTCAGCTTCTTCCCCAGAGATTTTGTGCCTAATATTTAGGTTTACAGAATCCTAAACCAAGTCTCACTGCACCACAATCATTTCCATACAGGAACATGATCCATTTTCGTCTGTTGGGGACTGAACTAAAAAAGTCTAGAGGAAGCAAGTTATCAGACATGCAGACAGGAAGAAAGGGTTGAAAGAGTGTAGGTTGATGCTCACAATCTCTTCTCGCTGACGAGGCAGTAAATGACGTAACCAAATAGCACTTATTCTTATTATTATTATTATCCCTTTTTTCCCTCTTGTAAGGGTTTTTTTTCATTTTTTGGGGAGGTGGGTTTCGGGGTAGAGGATGTTGGATGTGTACAGACTGTAAAGCCCTCTGAGGCAAATTTGTAATTTTATGGGAACTAAACCCATGGGAACTAAACGGATCAATACCAGCAGAGGTCCTTCACAGTGCAGAGTAACAAAAAGATAACCAATCCAAAAACAGCAGTCACTTCAGAGAAAGGCTGCTACAAATTCTGCATTATCAACCATCAATTCATGCAGATTTTGTCAATGAAGGAATGTGGTGAGCAGAATCAAGTGTTTACCTTGGCATTGGTGACATCTCTGTCCATTGGCTGTTTGGCTTTGAAGATGGTTTGAACCTCTTGCTGAGGCCTGAGGACACGGAGGAGAGAAGATGATCACTAATCTCCAGGAGGACACCAACAGGACTCCCCACTATACACTGCTGGCAGATGAACAACCTATTGGAGCTTTGTTCCACCTTCACGCTTGACCTCAAAGTGCAGTTTAAGGATCACAATCCTCTGCTTCACAGTGGAGATGTTCACCACCGGCGGCCCCTTCCACTCACATGAAGAGTGGCGTTTTGCTTTGACTTGAACTTCGTTTACTCTGAATTAGTTACAGCTGAATAAATCTGCAACTGACAAAACCATGTTAAAATAAGAAGATGTGTGATGAACAATGTTCAGGACCAAAGAGAAGCCGCCATCGGAGGCTAAGCCATATGGCTAGCTCAGCTAGCACGCCACTGTTCCAGTGACACGGAGGAGCAACACTGGATTTAGAAATTGAACTTAGATTCGGAGGCCAAATATGCATTTGGGATTTTGGGGGTGAAGCGTCCCTTTAAGAATTGATCTGATAAACATATGGACATATTGTCTGACAAAACCAACTAACTGACCACTCAGCGATAAAACACAACATTGTAAGAGGCATTCAGATCACTGTCAATCAGGTCATTGATCCACATGTCAAACAAACAGTGAAAGAAGAGCTGACAGGACGCAGCGATCGCACGCCGAGCCTTACAGTCCCAGCTGCTTCCAGCGCTGGAAGAAGTCCTGGGACACCATCTCTGTGGGCTGGAAGAACTTGTTCAGCATCACAGGGAGTTTCACCGCAATGTTCTGAAGAGCGCCGCCGTATCTGTTCACACACACACACACACACACATTAGCACATGGAGCTAACCCACACGTGTGGAGCATAAGGTGCACATCCAGACACCGACCTGAAGTGGATGTCCAGTACCGGTGCGTCTGTGAAATCGGACACACACTCAATGTTGAGGATCTGCTGGAGCTGAGCCCCGCCTTCTACGGTGGGATCGACCGCCTTGGCGTGGATATTCAGCTGTGGAGACGATGGTCAAGGAGACACACAGCACGACGCACCACTGATTGTTCTTGGTGTTACTGTCAGTGACAAAGAGCTACGAAGCAGTGGAAGGATATGAGTCCTGAGAGCGTCGCTGCAGGTGACGGATGACGAAAAGCCGAGGAACTGCGTGGGCGTCTTGTTGCCGAAGAACACATAGATGCGACCTGTGAGCGAAACATCAACCATCTTTGAGTTCATTCGTTCACTTACTAGCATCCATTTAGTGGGATAGAAATAGTCCCATTTCCGTCCACCAGGGGGGGCTTTAAACAATCCCACTATTTGCCATGCTAGCCTGAGAAGTTACACACTGATGAGGTCATAGAGACGAGTACTCACCCAGGTTCTGCCTGTACTCAGACTTCAGTCCGATCTGCAGCAGCTGGTTCTCAAAGATAACGCCGTTGTTCTTACAAACAAACCTGCAGTCAAACACAACTACAGATTTAGGCCAACGGGTATCAGCCCCCCGTCTGGCGCTGCCCCACATGACTCGGGGAATATTCCAAGTCAGAGGTCTTATGAGCTTTTTTCTCTTTGCTACCAGAATAAGACCAGTCACTTTAAGGGGGGTGAATATTAATGCAAACTCTGATTTTACATTACAACGGTTTTTTGTTTAAAACAATCTTCAATTTCACATGAAATCTTGTGAAAAAAGCCAATTATATTGACGTGATTTAATGTAGAAAAGCAACTAAAGGGGAAACGTCCATTGTCGTTTGCTTCTAGTTTAGAACGCTGTCCTCACGCTGCCTGACAGCGAGGTGAAGCCAGGGACACATCTACTGATAGTGTCATTAACCATAACGTAATGGAACATGCATTACTTGCGAGCACGTGAAACCACACGTTCCGCTACTCATCAAGCCAGTTCCCTTTAGGCTCCCACCTGGAGAAGTTGTCCTCAGACACGACCGCGGGTGCCGGGGTGGAGCTGTCCATCAAGACGTCAACCAGCAGACTGGCTGCGGCTGGAGGGGCGGAGTTCAGGTTGAGCAGATCGGTGAAGGGGGCGGGACCCTGGGACGACAAGAAACATCCATTTAACATGTCGCCATCGCAACACAAATGTCTCATTTCCCTTTGTGCAGTGTTCTACAGCTTCTTCACCTCGTGTGCCATCAGATATGCACGTCAATGACGCCACAGTTCCCCGTGTGGTTGGTCGACAGACGTCGTGACCCACTAATCACATTGTCAACACTCAAAACGTGTTACCGTGGGCTCTCTGTAGCTCAGAGGTAACTTCCACACAGTGTATAGAGACTCGTCGATCAGAGCCGTGTAACTCCAGCGTAGGAACACGGCTGATATAACGTGGGGATCAGGAGACGCAGAGCGCCTGCCACTAAAAGGAACCCTTTAATGACTCATGTGACCTCGGCCCGGTCTGTTGGTCATCAGTGAAGGAGAAAACTCATCAGCAAAAGGTAACAGAACCGGATCCTAAGCCCGGTGTGGGTGTGATGAGGGCGTGTCACAGAGAAGCTGCTGGGTGCGTCAGCTCGGCTCTTGGCGGTCACCTTGTCCGTGCCCTCAGTGCTCTCGCTGTGCTCGCCGCTGCCGTTCACATTCCAGCGGGCGTCGTCGATGTCGGGCAGGTTGCCGGGGCCCTTCTTCCTCTTCAGCTTAGCCAGGATGGAGGACTCCCTCTCTGGGAAGGGAGGCATCTCTTCTAAGACCGTGGCCTGTGGGAGACCCGGAGAGAGAACTGGCTGTGAGGGGAACTGAGCAACGCAGACCACAGTGCAGCACAGAGAAAAGGATCCAATCACAACGTAAGCCCTGTTCAAAATGTTCAAAATGTGCATGTCCCTGTGAGAGAGAGGGAGCACTTGGTGCTTCCATTAAAGGTCACTCACCAATATGTCGGTGCTGGCGATGCTGCTGAGCCTCAGGTACTCGATGGCTCTCTGCTGCAGCTCCACGTCGGCGTTGCGGAGCTGGCTGTCTGAGCGCAGCACGTCTTGGATCGTGGCCTTTACCTCTGGAAACAAGTTGATGAACTTTATGTAGGCGGACAGCAGCAGCGCCCTCGTCGGCACGGAGCACAGGTGGAACTTGGAGTGGAGGAGATCGAACTGGACCAGAGGGCTGCAGGAGGAGACCAAGAGCAGACGGGGACACATTGACGTCAACGCTGCGCTCAATACATTCTGCTTTTCACGAAACCACCCGCGCGGCTGCACGCGTCTTGCAGAAACAAGACAAGCCCCCAAACAGTGACAATAGATTTGTATAGAATAGAGGTCGCGTTTACCTGGAGCGCGAGTCACCAGCAATAAGGTTGCCAAACTCCCCCAGGATGTATCCGCCCACCTTGACCAGGTTCTCATGACAGGCGGGAGCCTGCAGCGCCTACGAGGGATCACAAAGCACGACGACGTCAGCAATGTACAGCGACGGCTACGGCACGTACGCCTGGAAATCACAACAGGTGGTAAGCAGCCAGCACACCGACCAGGTGAGCTCACAACAAGACAACCACTCGTTCTCAAAGGAAGCCTCCTAGAGGTTTCCACTTGGGCTGAAGCACTAAACAATGGCCGACAGGTTGTACAGTGCACTACATCATATTTATGAATATATTAGGTTGCGATGTGGGCAGATGTGTGAAGTCCACATCAGAAGAGTCGCTTACAGCCGGTAAAATGTATGAATGTCAAGTTCTCCATAAGAGACAAGACATATTGCTTTATTAGTCCCACATTGGGACGCGGCAGCAAAGTGAGCACAAGATACGTGGTAAGAAACAAGAGCGGCAGCATCATGCTGGATAAAAAATGACAAGAATAAGAATAAACTTAAAGTGAAAAAAAATTGACGAGTGCAAAGGCCACAGTAGCTAAATACCAAATAAAGATACCACAGTGATCATTGCACATATAAAGGATTAAGTGTCCTGTGGTCGACTGGGTGCACACAGCCTGACTGCAGCAGGAAGGAAGGACTTGCGTACAGGAAGTCCACCATGGAGGGGAGGTGCTGCTCATCAGGGATGATCTCTTAAGGCCGCCGCATGTTTCTGCGTCTTTACGCTCCGTCGTGTCGACGCACTGGTTTCACTTCCTGGTTGTAAAGTCCTGCGTGTGTTGCAGAGCGATTCGCCTCCAGAACAACAGGTGGAGTCACGTGTTTTGTTGAAGACGACCTGGAGAGTCACGTCTATTTGTTTATTTATTTATCATAGACTTTATTGCCCCGTGCATCGCCGCTGCTCCTCCCGTAAACATTCTTCGTTTAATTGTATTGCTCGTATTGTGCTATGAAAACGGAAATGTGAGAAAAAGGCGACGACGCACGCAAGGAGGGAGGAAAAGGCACGCAAAGAACACGCAAGGGGCTCTAGCGTGTCTCTGAAAACGCAGAAGCATAAACTAGGCTTGAGTCCCGGTTAAGTTCTCTGTACTCCCGGTCATCCCCGGCGGAAAGGAGACCAACGATTGCGCCTGATACCCAGATAGGGCTACAGGTGTGTTTACATTACTGCGTACTGGTCTTTTGCTGACTCGTCTGCATCTCATATGGCCTGTGTAGTCCTGTGTTTGTCCCATGTTGTTTTCATGTAGCACCACGGTGTCTCCTTTCGCTCTGTAATAACTGTACATGGTTAAACAACAGAAAACCACTTGACTTTAGTCTGCACCTTTGGATTATTTGCAATACAGAGTCAGATTCAACTCTTTCTACATTTGTGCTTTTCAGGTCCACATTGTGCCCGTCATTAAGAAAAAGAGAACTAGCAGCTTGATTTTGACGGCTTCCTGTAACATTCCAGGGAAGAGACGTTTCTGTTAAACGTGCATCCCGGAGAGAACGTGGAGGCTGCTGAGACGGGCTGAACCCAAGCATGGCTTCCACATGGTGGGGCTGCATGTGTCCTCCTGCTGTGACACCGAAGAGCGCCGAGCGACTGCTCTGTGACGGAATACATCCTCACCTCAAACACGGTCTTTGCTGCGTAGCCCTGGACGTCATCTCGGTTGATGACGATCTGGATGACGCGGTACCACACCTCCTCGCTGACGTAGTCTCCGGCGATGCGGATGAGGTTGAGAATGGTGTCCACGTACCAGGTATAATCCACGGCGTATTTCTCCGCCAGGATCGCCACCTTAAGCACCTGAGAGAGACAAAGCGAGCGGCTGAGGGAGGGCGGCGCACAGAGCGGGGAGCCCAATGGTGGAGCGGCCCGAGCTGGTGACCCACTATCTCCTCTCGGATGGAGTAGTCTGCGTTCTCCAGGTAGCTCAGCATCTCCGCCACCACCTGCTTGGAGTTGCTGCGGTCGCACATGGCGTAGAGCAGATCCACGGCCCGCTGGCGAACGCTCACGTCGCGTTCCGTCTGGATGGAGGAGCAACGGGAAGAGAAATCACGACAAACGTCTGTGGCAGGTTCACCAGCTGCAGCCAAAGCCGCTCGGCTGAAGGAGGACTCGCCTTGAGGGATTTGATCACAGTGTCTATGTGCGTCTTCACGGCCTCGTGGGAGAACTCGGAGCTGGCCAGCGTGCACATGCTCTCCAGAGCCAAATAGCGCAGATTGGTCTCCCTGTGCTGCAGGAACTGGCCCAGCTGGTTGCAGGCTCGAACCAACAGGGTGGGCTCGCTGCAACAGACGAGATGCAAGGACTAGCGGCAGCGTTCCTAGGCAACACACACCTCAACACTTTAACACTACGGGACGGGAACCAATGGCGGCCGGGTTAGTCTTGGGACAGGAGGTTCAAAAGGGGAAGCGCAGTGTTACGTGTCTACAGACGAGAGCACAGAGACTCTCGGACGTTGCCGACCTGTCGTAGTGGATGATGAGGGCGATGGCCTCAAACAGAACGGCGTTCTTGGCGTTGGAGTGCTGCACCTTCTTGGACTTGGGCGGCTCCTGGGCTTTGTTGAGGATGGTCTCCAGACACTCGGTCAGGCGACTTCGCAGCGCCGCATCCTCTGCAGCGACAAAGAGTATGTTCTGAAAACCTCACAGCCGGGATCTAATCCCATCACAGTATTACGCCTACGAACTCCTTGTTTTATACCATGAATCACGTCACCGCACGTAATGCGGGCCCGGTTGTCTCACTAAACTCAGGACGCATTATCGAAAATGATTGGATTACATTTCTCCCCTTTTGACCGTTTCTACTACAAGAAGCACGCAGCAGTTTGCTGGGCTCATAGATGGAAGCGACCACGATGGAGGCGTCCCTGTTGGGGGGGTGGAGCCGCATACAGCATCACACATGTTATAACACAGGTAGATGAGATCCAGCGATCTGATTGGTTGAGAGGGAGTCATTGTTCAGCGATACGTGCGGTACCTGTTCACGTTGACCCGAGCGTTCCGTATCACTGCACTCAAAGCAACAGCTTAGATTTTGCGCGACAGTTCAGCTTTTAGCTCGCTGGTGATCGCCCCAAAAAACGTAAATCCCACTAATGACGAGCTCAGCAACCGGACAAGTGAGGAGACCCCATGCTGCGTACATGCCGGACCGGGACTAGTTTTCTCCAGTCTACTGAAATGAGATGCACGTTTGGTGCTGACAGGCAACTATTTACTTATTTATAATAAGCAATAAAGGTACTTGAGGCTGTACTTTATCTTCAATAATGTATGTAATGTATAATGTATAATAAAAACAGTTGGAGGGTCGCACACTGTTATGTTATTATAAGTACAGCCTCTCGTACCTTGTTGCTTAGATAATCTCTTAGGAGCCTAAGAGTTAAGTAATACAGTTACTATGGGTCCCCAAAGTGTGCAGAAGGAATTGTGCCAATAAGCTACAGGGCTCAACGATAGAAGCCAAACCGACGGCAACGTGGCCTGGATGCTTCGATGTGCTGGTGGGACAGGAGCCGTCACAGGTTTCCTTTAAGGAGCATCAGCGCTCCTTTTCCTCTTCAACTGGTATTTCCAATTCAAACAGACACAAAGGCCCCCGACCTCTGTTGTGAGGGGTTGAACTGTGGAATGAGATGCCACATATTCCGACCTGCCAGCTGTGGTTGACCAACAGACACTGTGGCTGGTGGTTCACAGTTACTAGCTGCTCAGCATTTCACTCGCCACAAGTTTGATTTGATTAAAAGGTTCCTACGGTTTGCTACAATTCACTTGACAATTAAAAATATGTACAGCCACCAAATCTTCAGCGCTTATTCGTGTGTGAAGCTCCTTTTGTATGAAAACATATGCAACTGATTAAGACAAAGACTACAGGAGCAGCTCATAGAACTGGTGCAAAGCTCTGCCGTCCTCATGAGGACCAGGGTTCTATTGTCTCTATGCTAAGCTAAGCTACACACGTCCTGTATTCCTGCTCTGAACTTACAGCACGAGATTGGTATTAAACTTCTCTCTGAACCAGCGAGTTCCTCCTCACTGAGAGCAAAACACTCCACCAGATCTCCACTCTTTGCTGTCCTGCTCCTAAACGAGGTCTCTGAAGACATCAGGACCACAGAGAGCCTTCACATCTTCAGACTCTACCTCCACTAACACACTAACTAACTGGAGCACTTATACTTATAGTGGCTCTTATCTACAGCAAGTTGTACATCGGCTTATTTGATGAAATTGCACTTTGTTTCTTGTTCTTCTGAGTTTGTTCCTTATGGTTTAATGCACTTATTGTACGTCGCTTTGGATAAAAGCATCAGCTAAATGAAAAAAACTAAAATATATAAACGATATGCGTTTTCCAGAATATTAACATTTCATATCAGTGGTTTTCGGGGAGACAATACGATCAGACTGTACCCATGAACATAACCGGCCGTAGCGTCACGTACCAGGTGGGGTGTAGCACTGGAGCAGGCGCAGCAGTTTGACGGACAACCACGGCGCAGCAACAAAGTAGTACGTGTAGTCCTGTAGGTCGATGGACGCCGAGGTCACGATCTGGAGAACAAGGTCACACGTGAGTGCGTCGTTGTGCGTGTTGCTATTGTGCGACGTCAGAGAGACACCCACCCTGCTGAGCCTCGCCACGGCCAGGGCGATGGACGTTTTGAAGTCCTCGGGACTCTTCTGGGCCAGAGTGGTGATGAGGCTGGCGGCCGCTGTCACCACCCCCTGACGGCACACGGACACACCTTACACAGCGATCCCACAGGCCAGCGGTGTGTCTGCGCCCGTACGTAACACATACTAAGCCGGCACGGCAGCGGCTACATGTTCACAGAAATGATACAGTAACCCAGAAACCCCGTTTAGTGAGCGTACGTCTCCCTACAGTGACCACTGGGACTGTAGCATCGACCCGCCAAGCAGCACAGCGATGCATGTAGGAGACGTGCTCCATGGCAGGGAAGCGCTGCTATGTGATATCGACCAGATGTACGGAGGACGAGGCAACAACACATGAACGCGTTTTAAATAAGTGACAGAAGCGTAAACTGCCCCGCTGCACGCTCACACCTGGCTCAGTACCGGTACGCGCGGTGGATGTGGACCAGCGGCGTGGATTGCCTCACCAGGTGCTGGTCGTTGAGCAGATGGACCACTCGTGCGGTCCATTCCCCCATGGGGACCAGGTCAGGGGACGTCCTGTTGAGCCGCAGCAGACACAGCGCGGCACTCTGCTTCACGCTGTCCATCGTGTCCCTGACGGAGGCAAACACAGCAGCTTCATTCATCACGTCATTACACTTCCGGGTCCGAACGTTAGTGCCGGTCCGCACGAGTCATAGCGATTGTAACCTAAAGTGATAGTTTGGATGGTTTTTAAGTTTGGTATAAGGTCGGAACTCGTAGTTGGTGGAATGCCGACGATCCGAACCCTTTAGAACAAACCAGCAGCCCGTGTGGGTTCGGCTAGTGTCCGTGTGAAGGAAGTCTAGTGTCTTTGCAGAGTGCATCAATGGACATGATGACTCAGAAAAAAGGGCTAAGCGGTAAAACGAGAACAATAAGTAGAATTAGGAATCGCTCCATCAACGAGTCCATGGACGCGGTTTCATCTGCTCGTGTGGACGCTGTTGACGCTGTGGTGGTTTTGAATGGCGTCTATGTACAAACCCTGCCACCAAGATGCTGGGAATCTGAGAAGCAAAGGCCTCGGCCATTTCTCTGCTGCCCACATTAGCGATGCAGTGCAGGGCCAGGTTCATGAAGGTGGGGTTGCGGCTGCTCAGGTCGTTCTTGATGCCGTTGTTGATGAGGCGGATCAGGTCGCTGTTGGAGTTCACCAGCACGGAGATGAACAGGTAACCCTGGAAGCCAGGAAGTTGAGTCAAAGCACAGTTCCCCGTGACAGGAGACGCGTGTACGCCGCCCGTTTGCACAACACGTTTGCATGACCTCTTCCACAACTGGATGGACACGAGGACCGACTTACAATCTGTTTCTCCGTGTACTTGTTGGAGCTGAGCAGGTTGACAGCCTCCATGTGTCCAAAGTCGATGTCATGGCCCAGAAGAAAGATGAAGAGCAGCTTGCAGACATACTTTTTCTTACTGTAGCCGTCCAGAGCTTTGTCTCCTATTCACACAATCACAGAATTATGGATAGAAAAGTGTGCATGACATTAAATATGTCCGTGGTCTGACGTTGCCATATCAATACAATCGGCATTCGGGTTGTTTACACCACAATAGTGCGTAATGAAAGAAGACACTTTCAAATAGCTTAACAATTTTAATCCATCCAGTTTTAAACGTTAAATGGTTCATTATTAACGCTCCCACTGAACGCTGTTTGCAGCAGCTCAACACAAAGGAGGCCGTTTACGTCACAGCAAACGCATCATGTTGTAGCTTTATTGGCCAGAAATAAAGATACACGGGAACCCAAAGGTGCGTTCATGTGACAAGCGGTTGGTGCATCCTTAAATGCGTGAACGAAGACTCCGCGCTTCGCACACAGCAAACTGAAATGAGCAGCGAGGCCAGAAGGCGTCTCCTTGCTGACTGGAGTCCTGCACTGGGATGCTAACAGCTCGAGAGCTAACGGCTAACGCAGCTGAACTCCAGCATGCTTGTGACGTCTGGAAGCGCTCTCCTGCAACGCGTTCTGCTGTTAGATATTTATTACCAAACGTTCAACTACCCCTGTGATGACGCTGGGCATAAAACCAGGGGTCGGAGGTCACACGCGTCTCCCCTGCACGCATATACTGACATGTGGGCGAAAAAAACTACACAAAACTAGGAATCCCCAGAGAGACACGGTTCTCCTCGTCCGGCCTGAACGGCAAACACAACTGTTCACCTACCTTTAAATTTGGAACGGATATTGGCCAGTTCTTTGTTTATCCTCTTTATCTCTGCCTCCTTGCTTTTACCTGCAAACAGACAGATGTTTAACGTGTTGCGTTCATGCTGCGGTCATACACTCAATATCGGAATTCTCCTTTGTTTTCGCTGCTCTGCTTGTTTCCGTCGAGTCCAGAGACCTTGAAGTAAGTGAACTCCTTTGCGCGTCCAGTTCCCTGGTCGGCAGGTCAGTGGATTTTGAGGTCAAATGCTTGAAGAGAGAGATTATAAATTTGTCCTACAGTATAAAATAGGTCAGCAACACTCTGAAAATCAATCATCAGAGGATACTTCTGTTCCCAGTGGAAGAAGCCCATCAGCTTTCTGCCGTGGTGACCAGGGTGATGCTAAGCTCCTGCTTGGCCAACAAATCACACAAACATCTTCCCTGCAGCAGTCCATGAAGAACGGTGGAGGTCCATGGAGCTACACCGCGGCCACCTGATGAGACGCGACTTCACGGTGTCCGTCTGATGGAAAACAGGGTTCTCCGAGTCCGAGCGATTAAACCAGAACTGCATAGCTATGGCAACACTCGCTGTTTGCTGAGGTGAAACGTAGGCACTGGGACTGGTTGCTGGGACAGGTTGCTGGGACTGGTTGCTGCAATTGATGTGAGGTGACATTCCCAATAAGATACATTGTGACGCCTTCTTTGACTTAAAATCATTGAAGGAATAAAAATCTGATAAATTGCTTTGTTCTTAATTGATCAAGTACAGATGTGACTATCAGACACATTATTAACAGCAGCGATCACAATCAATGGACGTTTAAATGAGTGCGATGGAGCAACGAGCTCCGTGTTGACCGTCCGGCTCTGGACGCGACTCCCCGCTGCTCGTCGCTACCTGACGGGCTCGTTACGTGGGGTGAGGGAGGCTTTCCGCCCGCTGGAGCTAAACTACAAACTTGACCCGCTAACTTGCACAATAAGCGTCCGTTTAGATGCTATCTGCGGGAGTCCGTGCGGGCCACGCCCTTCGGCTGACGTTAGCCGCTGGAAGCTAGCGGCTAACGTCACTCGTAGCTAGCCCGCGGAGCGGTCGTCCAAACCGGCCTCGGTAAATTAAAGTCCCCGCCGGGGGAACCGGGCAAAGGGGACACACGTAGAGGACGCGTTCTGCGCGCCGCAGGTTGTTGCGGCAGTTAGCTCGTTGCTAACGGAGAGCCGAAGGGGATAAACAAACACTTACAGTTCCTGATGTCAGAGATGAACACGGCCAGGCCGCGCATCCCGTCGCCTTTAGAAACCGCCGGCATGTTGCTGAGTGGGACGCGTTCTCCTCTATGCTGTTAAACAGTCCAACTATGTGGAGTAACTTTGTTTCAAAGTTCGCTGCGGCGGCTCGCGCAGTACTGTGTCCGACAGGCGGCCCCGCGATGTGACCGAGACAGGAACCAGCGCGGCTGCCAACTCATTTTCCGGGGAAGTTGCTAGACACCGGTCAATTGGTTGCAAAAAGTTGCCAAATGACGTTGAGATGCCGTTGCGTGGTGACGTCATTACGTAATAACGTAAAACTGCGTCGCCAAAAAATATGATTTGACGTTTGTCCGTTTATATTGGTTTGTTCATTATCACATATTTTAATCGTAATGTAAACACAACCCATTTTATATTGTCGGATATTTTTAAACGCAACACATGGAATTATTTAACAATTACACATTATCAGGAAACGTTATTGAACATTGGCATGTTTTTTCTTAGTACTAGTAAACCTTTTTTTGGTAGTTAGTTAACATGCTAAATTATAGATACAAGCTAATAATAAGGTGTATATGCTATTTTATTGAACAAGCAACTTAACTCAAATAATGTGTGCACTAGGCATCTGTCTCCAGTCAACTGCTGCCTGTGCACGAGCTGAGCGCCTGCTGTTGGAGTCACTCACGATGCAATTTTGCAGTCAGGCACATGTGGTTTTTGTGTCATTTAAAGAGAAAATGCGGGCGTCTCGGCATTTAAGTACCACTTGAATTGCTTAAAAGTGCAAAATACATTTTTTAATAGCTACATTTGTTGCTAGGTGCTGTTTGAAAAAAAGTTGCCAGGGTAGTCTGAAAAGTTGCTAAATCTAGCAACAAAGTTGCTACGTTGGCAACACTGGGAACCAGATGTCCACTGCCCCACTCGCACCTACTACACCCGCGAGGCAGTGATGGCAAAGTGAAGCTTTCTGGACCAGTGAAGCTTTCCGGCCAATTGTATTTCATTCAATGCATCGCAAACTCTCCAGTTGATTCAGAATGCTGCAGCACGTGTATTAACAAGAACTAAGAAAAGGGATCATATCACTCCTGTATTAACTTCTCTGCACTGGCTCCCTGTTAAATCAAGAATAGATTTTAAGGTACTTCTCCTCACCTACAAGGCACTTGCTGGTGAGGCACCGTTGTATCTTCAAGAGCTTGTAACACCGTATTGCCCTACAAGGCAGCTGTGCTCCATAGATGCTGGATTACTTGTTGTTCCTATGGTTTTAAAAAGTAGGCTGGGGGCCAGAGCCTTCAGTCATCAAGCTCCTCTTTTGTGGAACCAGGTTCCACTTTCAGTCCGGGGGGCAGATTCGGTCAGCTCTTTTAAAGTAAAACGTTCCTCTTTGATTGTGCCTATAGTTAGGGCTGGCTCAGGTTAGCCCGGACCAGCCCTTAGTTAAGCTGCTATAGGCTTAGACTGCCGGGGGACTTCTTAGGACACACCGAGCTCCTCTCTCACGCTCTCGTTCTACCATAATTCACGTTTTATTAATGCACATCACTAATTCAGCTTCTTTCCGGGAGTTTTTTTTTTGTGCTTTCTCCCCTATCAGGTCTGCATAGATTGTGGTTCCTTCTGGACCCTGGTCCTGACACCTACCGTGGCCATGCTGACGCCTGCTGCTGCCATCATCATCATCATCATCATTATTATTATTTTAGATATTAATCATATTACTGTAATCATAAACCAACATTACCCTCTCCTAAAGTCTCTGTGCTCTCCCTCCCCACAGGCTTCTGTGGATGGAGGTTCTATGTGATGGTGGTTCTATCTGATGGAGGTTCTATGTGATGGTGGTTCTATCTGATGGTGGTTGCCCCTGCAGTGGTCCTGCTGTGCGCCTGGCTTACTACTCACAGTTAGTTGAATCATTCCTGTCATATAATTGCATGTATTATACATTGTTCATTCTGTACACATGGTATTATTGTAGTCTGTCCATCCCGGGAGTGGGATCCCTCCTCTTTTTTTGGGGAGTTTTTCCTGTGCTGATGGTGGGTTTCGGGGCAGAGGATGTTGTATGTGTACAGACTGTAAAGCCCTCTGAGGCAAATTTGTAATTTGCGATTATGGGCTATACAAAATAAAATTAATTGAATTGAATTGAAACTCTATGATGACCTCTGCTGTTGAAAACTTGTAATGCAAATGTATTGAACAGTATGGAAGTAAATCTTTGTTATCGGATTTTGAAAGAAAAAGGTGATTGAATTTTTTGCAGTTGAATATTTATGGATTGAAATCATGTATCTGAATGTTTTTCAACGTTAAAAAATTCAACTGCAAAAAATTCAACCGCAAAAAATTCAACCGCCAATTGTTTGAATGTGGGAAGTGATTTGCAGAGGAAAGGTCAGTGGGGCAGTGACTGTGCTTTTGGACAGGTTTCTTATGACAGGATATTGAGGTGCTTGTGGACACATGGGATGGGGCATGAAATTATTATTGATTTTTATTGAGGAACACAATTTTCTCCACAGTATTGGGGTTGAGTCAGTTTCTCCCCAGAAAAAAGGCGCTCACACGGCACGATGAGGCAGGAATGCTCAAAAGATTACGTGCTAATACAAATAGATGTGGGTACACATGTTTGTGTTTGACCCAATATTTTAGCGGGTCTTCACTCCGTGGTGGTCTCCACAATAAAAATAAACATCCATAATTACACAATACAAATGACAGACTTTGCCTGCCTATTACAAACCGTGTTAGAGGAAATCAATAGTGCTCCCACATCTCGGAGCGACCTCTCTTTGCCACAGGTTCCATTGTAAATTTGCTCTTTGCTACGACTACTCGCAACAACACTGACTTTGACTGTATCAAACCAACAAGCCCGAACCGTTTCCAGCCCATTGAATCAAATCGGAGCGGTCACGTGACTGTGCGCAGGAACGAGGCTTCGGACGTCACTGATCACGTGATCAGCAGCGAACGAACCGAGCACCGATACGTTTGCGTCGCCTTGCACTGGTTCATACTTCACCACAAGCTTCGAAGCAGGAGGGTCGGAGGTAACAACACTACTGTGAGGGAGGGCCGCGTGTATGGAGCCACACATGTGCTCTCAATTAACTGCCATACCACCAATGCCCGGGCAGTTATTGATGATCTGTGATACATTGACAGATGTAAGCCAGAGGCCTGTGCCATGGTACTGTGTTGGAACGGACGCGGAGTATGAGTATTCTTTGTGTACAGACGGGCCAAACAAGCAGTAGGGCCGAGTGCGGAAAGTGGTAAGTGGAAGGTTCCTTTGTCGGAACGGCAGGTTGCGTGGTCGGTGGTAGTTTCCGGTGGTCGGATCCTTTTTCAGAACGGCATAAGCCGATCTCAGTTGGGTATTTAGCGACATGCAAATACCATATATCCTTAAATGAGTATCTTCGTGACCGTGGGTTTGCCGTACATGTTTTTTTCTAACTTTATTGACAATCTACCCCCGGTCCGGCCAAACCGTTCGCCATGCGTTGCCATGCCTCTCTTATTATCGCCAGATTTAGCGACCTGCCGATCATATCATAGGAAGGTGGTGACAGATCATGTGACGTGCCGATCATACCATAGGAAGGTGGCGACAGATCATGTGACCTGCCGATCATACCATAGGAAGGTGGTGACAGATCATGTGACCTGCCGATCATACCATAGGAAGGTGGCGACAGATCATGTGACCTGCCGATCATATCATAGGAAGGTGGCGACAGATCATGTGACCTGCCGATCATATCATAGGAAGGTGGCGACAGATCATGTGACCTGCCATAGGAAGCTGTGCAGCAAGATGTCCTCAAAACAGGAGGGATTCATCCTCACTGCAAATGTTTCATCTAAGAAAGAGGGAATTGATTTCCTATAGGCACCCAGTGGGGCTCAAATCATCCTGAGATGGAGTTTTCCGAAGTAAAAGTTACAATGACTCCAGTGGGTTTGAAGCTTTATTTAGAAGCTCTCGTTTGAGACCAACTCGTGAGGTAGTTTAGCAGCACCTAGTAGTGGAGAAGTGCAACTACATCTCCAAGTTAAGAACACAAAATCCTATTTTCAACTGTTTTCCTAAAAGACAACTTCAAACCTAAAACAGCTGGAAGGAAATGATATGTCTTTATTACAGAGACGTGCTGTTAGACACAGACCTGCGTCCTGCTGCTGCTCGGCGCTCTGCGTCTCATCCTCCCAGTTATTTAGTGCAGATGACTCACACATAAGTTCTGCATCACAGTCAAAGTTCTTAGTCCCAGAAATGACGACCTATACACACAAGACATGGATAAGACTTCTTAAAGGTCTTCGTCTCCGTCTAGATGAGAACACACACCAGTTGCTGTGAGGCTTCTCTGCTCGGAGGTCACACACTCTGTGGCTTTCTACACAAATGTTGCTTCAACTACTGTGACTAAGACCAAACATCAACCACAAGTTTTCCCAACACATGCAGACGCTTTAAGGATGTTTCCATGTCACAAGGAGTTAGTCGCCCATCTAAGATCTAAGGCAGACAGTTTAATTTATAAATGTACATGGGTAACCATCCATACCGATCCCAAAAAAAACCACTCCCGCGATTTGTTATGAGTGACAGGAATGAACTTCCTCAACAGTTCCAGCGCAACTCAGGGTTACAGGCTAAAACGGGTGCTATTTTAAATCATCCTTGTGGTATTTGGACCAAAGTATGTTACAGACCCCAAGGAAACACATTAACTTAACTCAAGAGCGATGGGTCCTTTAAAATAAGGTTTAAAATCCAGACGTTTTTGGGGTCTGACAGTGAGTGATGGTCAGACAACGTAGCAGGAAAAAGTTCTGCAGACTCCAAACCAGATTCTCTGTCGTCAGTGACTTACACCTAAAACGTTAAGAGTAGCTCATTCACACAATGTACATGCGGACAGCTCACACCAGAGCTCTCTCAAAACAAGTAATAATTCATCATAATAACGTTAAGATACTTTCATACACTATGAGCTGGATGGCAGCAAGTGGACCAAGGTAAGCTATCAGCCATGTCTTATACACGTTACACATTTCTTAGTTCCTTCTCCATATATCTGGAGATGTGGTTCCAATGAACAATGAGTGTGACCAGCATCTGCACACTACACAACCTGTGGCCCCCATTCGGTTTGTCGGCCTGCGTTTGAGTTTCACACGAGGAGCCTTACTGCCCTTTCTTACCCTCTGCTTCATCG